GTCACCAAATGATGAGCTTCGTGCAGAGCGTGAGCCTTGCTTTTCTTCGCGTCCCCGCCCTGTTTCAGCACAGTGTCTGGCACATAGGTATTTGCTGCACGGCGTAACGGTGCCACAGCTGCTGTAGAAAGTGTCCTCTGTTTCGGGATCGCACATTTGCCCATATGTGATTGGTAAATACGGGAATGGTGCCATCATGACATAGAGGTATCATTGGTTCATGCTGGACTTTTTCCGGGATGTTAATGTTTTGTGGGACCACGTCACAGCACTGAACACAGAGTGTACTCACACAGTGGACACTACATATTGTTGTTGTTAGGTTCTGGCGAGTCAGTTCCGACTCATAACGACTCCACACACAACAGAAGGAAACACCGCCGGGTCCTGTGCCATCCTCACGATCGTTGCTATGTTTGAGCCCATTGTTGCAGCCACTGTGTCAGTCCATCTCCTTGAGGGTCTTCCTCTTTTCTGCTGGCCCTCTATTTTACCAAGCATGATGTCCTTCTCCAGGGACTGATCCCTCCTGATAACATGTCCAAAGTATGTGAGACAGTCTCGCCATCCTTACTTCTAAGGAACATTCTGGCTGTACTTCCAAGACAGATTTGTTCGTTTTTCTGGCAGTCCACGGTATATTCAGTATTCTTTGCCAACACCATAATTCAAAGACATCAATTCTTCTTCGGTCTTCCTTATTCATTGTCCAGCTTTTGCATGCATATGAGGTGATTCTGAACACTGCATGCTTCAGGGGAATACTGTACTGTCCACGGTGCCCACTACCCCATGCCCTTCTTCTTGGCTCACTATGGCCAAATGCTCTGCTCTAGAAATGCTTATTGCCTGGTTCCTTGGTCCATTTTGCCTTTGTCTCTACAACTCAGCAGCCTCTAGTCTTCCATCAAACACTGTCATTGTTTTTTTTTAAGGGTCTAATCCTGTAATTACAGCTGTATTTCTTTTTCTTAGCAACCTAACATGTCTTTTTAACTGTATTTTTAGGATTTTTTTTTTTTTTAATCTTCTGGTTACAGAACTTCATAGATTTTGAATGGTCTGCCTGGAGCTGTTTCTCCCATGAATTTGGTTTTTGTAGTTTAAGACTTTGCAGACTATGAACTTTTTTCCAGGAATGCGTTTGTCCTGTTACAGCAGAAATGCTTGTCTCTTTTTCCTTCATTTTAAGCAGAAGACTTTGACTCTTTAGCTTAACTTCAAACTTCTTTTCTTGCAAGTAGAATTTTGCTTATGTAAATTTAATAACACATGCTCTAAGAGAAACCAGAGTTTACGTTTCACCAGTACACTGAGATAAGCTAGATTTTCCCAGGATTAAAGCAGGAGTCGAGATGAGCAGGAGAGCCGACGTTTGGCCCCTCACAAGTGATTGCTCTGCCAAGTATGCCCAGGATTCTCTCAGACTAACTCACTTGGGAGGCTGTGACCCATTTGGAAGCAATAG